GCTGGGCTCCTCGGAGCGTCTGCCCGCAGCGGGGACCAACCTCCTCCGAAAGCTGGAGGGGAATGGAAATGTGCAACATTCCTGGGGCTTCGTTAGCATCAGATTTCCCAAGCGCCTCCCTTTAACTCCTTCGTTCCTCCAGCCCCTGCTGGCTGCCCGGTGCGGCGATGGGACGGAGACGGGGGCTACCCCGCGGCTCCCGCTGGCTCCGGCTCTCCCGCCGGCGTTTCTTGGCGGTGTTTCCCCACGGCGACCAGCCAGGGAAATGTACATGACTTAAAAGGTTGAGTTTCATTCCGAGCGGTTTAACTGCGCCTCAGGAAAAAAAAAAAAAAAAAAAAAAAAAAAAAAAAAAGAGAGAGAGAGAGAAAAGCCCTCAAACCCAAACAGCCAACATCTCAAACCCTACAGGAATAAAGTACACGCGCCTGCAGCCTCCAGTTAAGAAAACTTCTCGCGGATGAAAAAGTTATAGGTAGTTTGGATTTCTTGGTTCTCACTTCGATCGTCAGGAACCTACATCAAAGATAGCCACGACCGCAGCTGCCGTCTTCTCGGAGGGCTGCAGCAGAACCGAAGCGAAGCTCCGATTTTGAAGGATCAGCCACGCAGCTGTGCCCGTGTGTATTTGTTTCTGATAAAGTGGTTTCCCTGGACCCTTTCTGGCGGCGCTCACACCGAGGTGTGAGGCTCAGCATACCTTTCAAGTGCTCCGAGGCGTGAATAACTCCTCGCAGCAGGAGCCACCTCGCTTATCTAATCTCTTCCACATGCTACCGAKGGAAAGCGGCACCAAGTATGTGTCCAGTTCAGCACTGCGATGCCAATTTGCGAAGTTGGCCAGCACAGATACAATAGCTAAGGACAGAAGAACAATTRTAGAAAATACTATTTATTGATTCATTAGCTTCAGCTTCCTTCCATCCTTGRGCTCATACGCATGTAAAACCTCCTCAGAGTATTTTTGCAATGTTCTCACACAGTCCCTTTGCTATCATTTACACAGGCAAGAGGAGAAAGAGTATTGTTGCTTCTTTTTGTTCTGGGGTTTTCCCCTATAAATACTATTTGAAACTTGTTGAGAATCTCTTTGTTCTTTTTAATTCAGGCTAGTTCATTTACTGTTTCTCTTGCTACTGGAAAAGCATATCAAATACATCACTTGCAAACTGGCTTGCCATTTTTTTAACTGGACATTACTTCTTTTGAAAACACTGGCTTTTCAAAACTAAAATGCTGTGCAGTAGCAACAGCAAAGGCACCAAATACACAGGGATTGTAGTGCCTGCTGAATTCTGCAGGGCTGGTGACMTGCCGGGTTGTAGAACACCTGCCTGGGACAGGGATACCCGTTAGCTCTGCCAGACCAAATTCTACATGAAACGTCCAACAGTTCCTAGACTCTTTGCTTAGACCTTCAACTGAAGTAGAACTCCAGGGTCAACTACTCCTGAGAGATCCTACATTCTCCTGTGGCTTCTAGTAGCTCTACAAAAAGGGAAATAAACATGGAAATAAACCTCCACAGTTTGTCCCTCCAATATGAGCTGCTTTTCTTCTGAATTAATGAATACCCACGTATTTTCTCAAGTTCCTTGATAGATTTTGCAGCCAGTACACTGCTACCACAGCTGTATTATTTTGGGGATTTGTGCCAGTGCATATAAAGCTACATAAGATACAAACTCATCTTKGGATCATCTTCAGAAATGCCATAAAAAGAGTTGCTATAGAGTTGGGGATGATTCTCAGAGCAGCTACACCTTCAGGTTCATAATTCATGAAATTACATAAGGAATGATATTTCCAGACACTACACAAATCAAAAGCAACTTTACTGAATTTGAGCCCTTTATATACTGATGGGAAAAAATAAGAATAAAATTTACCTTCAAACCTGAATATTAATAACTTTTTTCCAAAAAGAAAAAGAAGCTTTGTCATGCCAGTTATAGCGCCAACAGTAGTACTGATAGGTGTATCAGCTATATGACACTATTTGTAGGTACCAGGTACACAGGTACCAGAATCACCCAGCAAACCTGCTCAGCATCCAAACTCAAGTCAGTGACTTGTTTGTAAATATACATAAAGCAGTACCTGTCCTACTCTTGCTTTCCTTCCCTGTGTGGCACTGTGTAAGCAGGAAGAGTCCCTACTTCAAGTGTTTGAAAAATGATTTGGTACAACACTTTTCCATGTAATTTTTTCGGATTTGCTGTGTTTGCTGGCACAAAAGGAGCAACTCAGATCAAAGAAGTAAGTAAGGGACTCCTGCATCTACACTATGTGCAGTTTGGGGAGGGTTTTCAGACCTAGCAATCATTAAAATTCATACAGAACTGGTCTGTACACCTACATTCCTGGTGAGGCGCTGGCACCTGTTTGACGTCTGTCCAGAAAGGAKCATATCCTGTTAGATGCCCCCAAAAGGCACCCTTTCTGCAAGTGCCAAAACTGAATGCGATAGGTAAGAAAGACTGGGTAATTGCTGCTCAACAGCCCTGCTACTCTGGACCCGGAAAAACCCAAACTCCATTTATTTAGTTCCATCTTCAAGTAGACGCGGCAGCTCTATCGCTCCCCGTGCAGCGGGAGGTGGGCTTTGCCTGTCTCGAAATCCATCCTACCGAGGCCAGCGAGACCCTTAACGGAGCATCCACATCTCCTGCAGGCCCGCGGAGCCCTCGGGGGGCGGAGGGGCCCGTGTCCCTCCCGGGGCGGGGCGGCAGCCGGCAGAGGGCAGCAGGGCCCCGCGCCGCACCCGCGGACACCGCCCGCACCGGCTCCGTCCCCATCCCGGCCCTATCCTGTCCTGTCCGGTCCCCGTGCGGGGAGAAGAAGTCGCTGCCCTCGCRCTCCCGCGTCGTCCCCGCTCGGGTTCGCTCCCCTGGCGGTGCTTTGGCRTTTGTCGAGGCTGTGCGGCGGCGCCGGGMGCGGAGCAGAAACCCGGGAGGACGYACCRCATCCTTCGAGGCCATTGGCTTTGACCAAACCTCAGCGGCACATTTCTTCTGCTTGATTCCTTGTTGAGGCATCTGGATGAAGTAAAATGTTCTTTCATGTGTGCTCTCTGCATGAGCCAGTATTTTGAAAAAGTCCGGACAACCTGCATTAAGCATTTTTGGATAAYGTTTGGAGCTGGATGATATTTTGCAGTATGGATGACAGAAACCATCCAAAGCAGTCATACATAACACAATTGCTCAGTATGATTTTTTTTTTCTTACATTTCTAGTTTAAACATGCAGGCATTTTGGAAAAAAAAAAATCTCTTCCAGGTACCTAAATCTAAATCTCACATTATTTTCCCGCCTTTCACAATCTTCTACAATAGCGATGTTCAGCAATTATTTGATCCTGCAGACCTTGCAGACATGCTTAACTTATCAATCTGAATTAATACTACATCCAGCAGCACTGCTTGCAGTGCATACCTTTCCAGATACGCATTTTTCTTTAATCAAAACCCAAACCAGAACAAAATAAGTATTTTTGTCTGGTTGTTTTCAATTGTTTATTTTTTACAAGACTTAGTGTTTTAAGCTCAAATTCCAAATATTCCTGTCATTTTTAGTATATGTTGGTTTCCAAAGAAGATTGATARTTAAATAACTACTCTTCAACCAGATGGAAAACATGGGAGTAGTTTCGATTTTTTCCATTTAAACTAATGGAATTTTTGCATGAACATTAGCTAAGAAAGAAAAAGAAACTAAAAAGAATCAAATCCTGCCAGAAKGTATGGAACTAGCTATCAGGCAGCATTTGAAACACTCTAATTTTGCTCATTGTCTTGTATYCTTTTTCAAAACATTACCAAATTTAAATCCCAAGGTGTTTTCAGCATTTTTTAGAACTGCTGAGTTTCCTGCTTAGAAATTCTTTTTAATGTCCACTAACCTTCAGGCCTTATTTCTAGACTAGATTTCAATAAATTAAATCTGTACACTGTGAACAGATTCCTAATCAAAGTATGGATGAACTAATAATATTTGAACTGATAATGGTGCATTAAGGGATTGACAAGATTTGTCTAAACAGCCRTTACCAACAGTTGCTGATACAGAATGAAGAGACCTCAAACTTTTATTCCTTCCTTCCTTGAATGACTTTATGTCATTGCAAAATGGCTTGCAATGGTATCTGTGATGACTAATTTGCCTGTAACTATACTTTGGAGAACTGAACAATTGAAAGAATGAGGAGACAGCCACATCTCTGAAGTAGTACTTCTCTCTGCTACATCCTCCATAAAAAAACTAGCATCAAATCTCACAAAGATAGTCAGCCTCCCTTTAGATGTCTAGATTGTCATCCCTTTACAGATAGCAGTTTACCATCTAATTGGCATGGGGAAGGAAATGGAAACTCACAGTTGTCCAAAGGGAGATGTAGAAACTACACTGAATAATGTCAATAATAAAACAATCCCCCCCCCCCCCAAAAAAAAAATAAATTCAGAACTCTGTGAAAACAATAAACAAGGGAAACAGTATAATTCAAATGACGAACTTTACTGCTGTTAAGTCACACACAAGAAGAACTTGTTACCTTGGCATAACGGATACTGAGAGCTGGAAAAAAGAAGAGCTATTCTGTGAGAAGATCAATGCCAAAGATCTCAGATAACGTGTATTGCCAATCTCCACCTGCTCAGAAGCAACAATAATTCTGCAGTATAGCTACGAACAAATTATTTTTCTAAGTAAGTTTGGGAATCCAAACAATTTTAAGGAATCACCTGATTTTTTTTTTTTTTTTTTTTTTTTTTTTTTTTTTGTAAATTCACTTTAAAAAAAGTGGATTAAGTTAGTCTGGTAGTACAAGTTTAGTCTTTTTTCACTTCTGGGGTAAAAATAGTACAAAGACAAGAAACACAAATGTTTCCCTCCAGTTGCTGAGAGAAAACTAGATCCTTTTCATAATGTAGCTCTCAATTGTGCTAAAACTGAACAGGAKAATGCACACACCACACTTTGAAACTAATAGCATTTCATTGTTTCCACAGCCCAATGTTGTTTCTCTGCACAAGGGTCTGCTGACTCAAATCAGTGTTCTAATGTGCTCTGCATTGGCTCACAGGGTTGCACGCAGCTCTGCAGGGGTGCTCTGTGTTGCAACTGCTTCCTCCAAGTGAGCTGATTMTGCCTTGTGAATAAGCCTTCAGGCTCTCAGACTTCACACAACCTAGGATTTTACAGCTGGAGTGTACTATGAATACTTTGAATTGGTCAGGGCTGAAAGAACACTGCATTTTCTGACAAATCTTACCAGTTTGAAATCTTAATTTGTCCCAATTTARAATGAAAACTGTTAAAACATTTCCTAGGAAATAGGTATTCCACTAACTTGAGAAACAAAGATTCACAGCATTTCCAAAAAGCAACAATTTCTTCCAAAAGCAGTGGAGCCCCAAATACCAGGAGGTTCTTGTATTCCTGGATCCCTGAGGCAAGGAAGAGGCCACCACACAGGAGTAGATCTGAGTGAATGGAAAACTGGCAGCTGACCCGTCTTGCAGAGGACTATCAGAAGTTATCTGTATTCCATTATAAGGCTTGCTGAGATAAGCTTTCATGAAATGTTTCACTCTCAATGAACCAGAAACTTCTGACAGAAAACATGCCAGCAGAATGGTGTTTCCAAGAGATGCATTCATAGCTGGATGACACAAAGTAGACCCGACTCAGATWAAAACCGAGTAGCCCCGACTCGGGTAAAAACCRAGTAGACTCGWCTCGGGTAACACRATGATAAAAGCATCTCAKACTTGGCTAGACTAGCTGCTMAGYATTAGTTTGGTGCTGCAAGTCTCAGTTTCCCAATGTAATAATAATCTTTGAGTCACCTTCTGTTCCTCTAATTGCCAACTTCACTCCTTCAGTAATGCCATACGAGGCACTAGAAGCACAGCTCAGAATCCTTATTAATGTTTTTGTACTTGGTTAGAGAGAATCTCTTGGACAGACATTTTTGCATTCAACTTCGAAGGTTTGTAGTTGAATACAGATCACCAGACTGCCCAGAAATTCTCCTGATCAAAGCACCTTAACAAGGAGTCTTGTCCTTTTCCTCAGGGTTCCTATATCATGGTAATGGGAAAAGCACACGAATGATGYGGGAAGATTGCTCTTAAGCCTCTCTAGAGCTAAGTTTTGGAAGACCTTATTGTGTTCCCAAGCCTTCATACATAAGATCTATAATAGATGGAATGCTTGAGGTGCATCTCACCAATGTACATTCAAGCTACCAAGAGCTGTGGAGCAGGGTCCCCAGCTGCACATAAATAATGTGTTTTCAGTCAATGTCAGCAAGTACAAGAGATATCTAACTTCTCCACTTTAACTGCTGTATTTCCTTCCATACACTGTTTCTAATGGCCAGAGGACAAATTGAATCTAAACTGTTGTCTCTTTTTCGTTACAAGAGTATCAGAAACTGCCTTTCACTAGTAGCACTCAGATTTTCTCATTATAAAATCTGATTTGATTTTTTTTTATACTTTTGCCAGTTTTTCAACTGTTTGGACCAACACATACTCAGGTAGGTGTTTGCAAAGAATGYGACAGAAATTAATTAAAATCAGTAWCCTTAATTCTSATAYTTTTCAAGTCATGAAAGTTTTATTTTGTGGCCTTAATAAAAGCATTGGGTTTGCACATACTTATATGTTAAATATCTGGTATAAATCAGGGCAGGTTACCACCTAACAAAACTCCCTGGCCCCCGCAAAAATAAACAAATCTAAATATGGTATAGGTTGGACCAAAATGTATCAACTACTCTTGGAACATCAAAGAACCCAAAGGGAAAAGAGATGGTGGTTAAAGAAAATATTTTTAAAAGCTAATACAAGTGAAAAATGAGGAAAAGGTCCGGGATTCACTAGGGTGAATGGTAAAGGACCMATAGCTATAAATGGTGTCAGGATTTCATGCAGAAAGTCAAAACAGATTAAAAAAAAAAAAACCCAAACCCTAAAAAATCTGGAACTGACTGGGTGCAAGACTGGATTAATTATCTTTGAAAGTCTTCAAATCACAAAACAATATTTTTCTAAACAAAAAATATTTGGCTTAGTACATGTAGAGGTTTTTGACTTACGTTATAAAGAASAGACTAAGAAATCTAACATTCACTTCCAAAACTTCTGTACCAGGGCTTGTCACTATGGAAGTARGACAAGATGGTCGTATTTATATTTTACTTTAGTTGACAGATTCTGTTAAGATTAGTTTTCTTGAAACTTTGAAAAAAAAAACCACAAACCAAAACCAACTGTGTTTGGAATTATATACTTAATATTTTGACAAGTTTTCAGCAATGTTCCTTCTAATCAATTTATGYCTAACAGTTAGAAACAATTACAATGTCAAGCGCTGGCCAACAATGAAGAAATTAAATGTAACCAATGTGAAATCTTCCTGTGGGCATTTCAGACCAGAGACACACCAGGTTTGAATCTGATAATGTTTCTATTTGTTTTTTAAACAAACATACAATCACTGTTAAAAATGGGGACTTGAACCTGGAATTGAAAATGACAAAATTTTGAGTGTTGTCTATATTTCATTAATGGTGAAAAATATCACCRGTCAGTCTTGAAGCTGCCAAAGAGAACAAATAAATAGACAGCTAGATAATATTTATGCACACAACTTATAGCAGTGTAATTTCAAAAAATCCAGACTGCAGAGCTACAAGAAAGATAGGAATGCATCTCAGTGCCTTTTGCCTTCAGGGTGAAAATGGGAAGAAAACTTCTGTTGTAATAACTTCTAAGGTTAGCTTTTTTATTTCTTTTATGACAATTTCTAGTTTTCCGGACTAACAATGGGAGAAACAGCACAGGAGTGATACCATGGAGCACTTATAGGTTTCCAGTTCTTTATATTTATTCATCCAAGAATAACTGAGGATTTTTTTTTTTTGTGTAGAGAAGAAGTTTTTCAGACATACCCAAAGGAAGGGCAGAGCTGAGAAAGGTTTCTGCAATGATAGGCAGCATTGTAGCAGTTGTCAATTTAGATCTGTGCATTTCCATATGCAAACAAAGTTTTAAGAAAAAGGGAGTTATTATTAAAAAAAAGGGCTAAATTAAGACTACTAAGCTACTAAG